GTATATAAAAAAATATATATTTTTTTATTATTTGCTATATATATATATATATATATATATATTGCATTTAATATATCTTTCATATAATAAATACAGTTTCATATATCGTCCATATATACCCAAGGCTTAAGGATGAAACAATTCAGACAGAATTGACAAAATTGCAGAAAGAGCTTTCTTTCTATTTTCTCCAATGCAGTTAAAGGACGTGAAGCTAATGAAATAGCTAAGTGCAATCTGTAGTAGGGTTGCAACAGTATGAGATTTTCATGGTATAACTGTCTCAGAGAATATCATGGTTTCACGGTATTATGGTACACGGTATTGCACAGTTGCTGTTATTATCAGCTACAACGACCCTCAAAGGAATAAAAATAGAGGGTGTTTTTTTTTATTGCAAGTTATGGACAGTTGAATGAGCCGGACTGCAGCACTAGATTGACCCTGAAGAATAAACAGAATCATAAGCACGATTTAAAAAAAGAAAAAAAGCATATGACTAAAGCACCAGTAGTAGATGATGTATTCACATCCTGTACTTAAGTAAAAGTCCTGCACTGAAAAAATTAAGTAAAAGAAACACAAAAATGTACAGTACTTAAAGTATTAAAGGTAGAAGTAGAATGCAGAAATATTTTATACTTTATACTATTGTATAGTATATCATTTCATTAATAGCCTCTCACTCATACATTGATGTAAAAACAGGATTTTCCTCCTGTAGTCGGTTGAGGTGGAGCTCTGCTGAACTATTCTGTATCCAAGTGCAACTATTGATTATTTTCATTATGGATTAATCTGCTAATTATTTTCTCCAATAATTGATTTACTGGTTTGTGAAACGTCTGAGAGAAGTGCCATCGCAATTCTCTAAATGATTATCAAAATAGCTGTCAAGTTTATTGTAGGTGCGTGACAGCGCAGCCACACTCATCCTGCCTTTACCCTCAGTTAACGCACACACACCCTTGTGTGAGCCAGTAGTTTGTGTGTGTGTGTGTGTGTGTTTCTGGGGGCTGAGCGGGATCAGTCTGAGCCCTTTTATAAGTCAGAGGTTAGTGAATGAACAAAGCATTTGGAAAAATATTTTGATATTATGGCCGATATTTATACGATCACATTCAATCATGGTGGATTAAAGTTATAAACAGGACACATACTTTGATCTGCATAGAGCCTCTCAAAGGTGTTCATTTTTGGTATATCCAAAGTAATCCTGCACTGCTGGTAATAATTTCCCTTTTGATGGATGGAGTTTAGTAATATCTGCCTCCTTCTCTGCTGTTTGACAGCTGCATGTGTGCATGTGGTGCCTGCTGTGGAGTCTGACAGGCAGTCGGGGAAGAAAGGTGCACATGCATTGCATTTTTTCCTTCAATACCGTTAAATGCCCAATGTTATGGTAACCATCAATTTTCATACCACGGTATACCGTGAAACCAGTATACCACTGCAACCCTAGACTCTGTAGCCAAGACCAGTCCCAGTCCAGAACACAGTAACCTCAACACCAAACCCAGGTGATAATAACAGTCCCTTGTCCTATTGCTGCTTTTTGGCCAATCTCCTGTGGTGGGAACCTACGATAGGCCAACAAATGGAACACCTTCCTCTTGAGCAAAAAGAAGAGTGTCGAGCCACTTCTTTGCCCGAGGTTGCTAAGATAAGCTGCCAAAAAAGTTGCCCCAGTGCCAGTCCTAACCATTCAAGTCTCTGCCTCGGAGTAAGAAGTCAGAGCCGTAAGAAACCAGCTCGGCTAAACAAACAAACAAGACAACGTGCTGTGATTAAAATTATAGTTTTAAACTGAAGTGAAATAAATGTCTAAAATAACCAAAATAGCTGGTGGGAAAAAAAGGTATTTCTTGTTTAGGTAGCAGGATGAACAGGAAGTAGAATATAGGAACTTGCACTTGAAAACAGTTTGCCAAATGTGAAATCTAGTGTGTCATCTTCGCCCATACCCAAACACATTTCAGCTAACAGCTCCTAACCCATGCCCTTGTCTCACTCACCTCTAACTCAGCCCTGACCCTGAACCTCCTCGCTTGCTCAGGACCCAGTTCCTGTTCCCACCCCACTGCACGGTGCAGCTGTTTGGACTCGTCGCAGCCTGGGACTGGCCTCTCCCCTCTCCCCTCCTCTTCTCTGAATGTCTCTTTATATGCCTGTTTCCAGCAATGGCTCCATGTGCCAACAAGTTAATGGCTACACCACTGTGCAAACTGCATTAGGTCATTACAAACCTAAAAGAAAAAAAAAAGACAACTAGGAATATAACAACGTTTCCCTTTGTTTGTGTCGCCACACCCCTTCCCCGTCTTTAGTTTTACAATCTCTTAAGCCATTACTGAATTGGATTACTTTGTTTTTAGACAAAGATAAGATCTCTATATAAATTTATATAAGGTATAGATTTGTGTGTAAATGTACACAAAAATACACAAAATGCAGATAGACATACTGAATTTGTTAAGGACTGCCCATTCATACATACATACTGTGTTTAAGTGTGTGTGTTAAACTCCTTGGTTTTTTTAAAACTCTACATTCAGTAGAGCGAGATTTCTCATGTGTAAACCTCAGATTCTCCACTTGGCACCAGTCAGCTCAGCTCGAGCACAGGACAGAAAGACAGACAGGATGTCTCATAAACTCAGTGGAGTAGATTTTTTTATGTGTTCCTCTCTTTGTATGAAGCTGCCTGTCCTGCTGTGACCTTCACTCAGTTTCTCACTCCGTTACGTTTCCTAATCTCCTCTTCTTTACAAGAGGTCAGGGTTCTTCCTCCCTTGATTTCAATCAACTGTAAGGGTGAAGCCATCATAACCCATCTGTTTGTCTGTTCCCCTTTCTGGGTTAGAAAACACCCCCCTTCCCTTTTAATGTGGCAAACATGACCTCCCCCGTCCCTTCAACACTGCTCGGTGTCAAGGCTCTCAGAGAACGGGCCTTAGGAGGCTAAAACATTCATTAAAACTTGGCTGCTGTGCTCCCCCAGTGCAGCCGCTTGTTAGCATGGTAATAACACCACCTTGACTGCCTCCTGGCCCAAAAAGGGGACTGCACCACCGCAAATTTTCATGTGGACTCCAGCGTGTCCAGTTGAAAGACGTTGTGATTGGTCGGGGTGGTGAAGAAGAGCTGGTCGTGTGCAGGGGAGGACGAGTGGTTGTCACAGGGGCTGTTGAGGCCCAGCGTCCGCTCAAAGTCCAGGAGCTGGCCCATGAAGTTGAAGTTGGGGGAAATGTTCGACTTTTTCCGCTTAACAAAGTCATAGGCGTCGTTGAGTGACAGGTTGAGCTTCTGCATCAGGTAGGCCACTGTGACGGTCACCGAGCGGCTGATCCCGGCCAGGCAGTGGACCAGGATGCCACACTTTTTCGAGCGTGCCTCATCTATGGTGGGGGTTACAGTGGAGGATGGAAAGGGGAAAGAAAAGGTGTAAATAGAAGAGAAGAAGATGTGACAGAGATGATAAGATTACTGTTACAACCCTTGTTTCATGTGTCATCCACCTTTGCCTTGAAACGATTAACAAGCCAGAAGAGTCTTAGTATTTTCTGATCTAAAACTTTACTGATGAAGTGGCATTATCACCAATATTAATATGGGAGCATAGTATAAAAGGCATCATTTAAAGTAATATCACACACCACTGAAAATCACTGTTTTGGTTTCCCATCCCCCTCTAGTTGAAAGTGTCTGTCTGTTAAGGAAGCCCGTCCATCCACTGTCTACACCCCTTACTTATGGAAGTCTTATAATGATTTTAAAATAACTTGGATCATTTAAAGTTGCCAAATACCACATAAAAACAACTGAACATTAAACCAGTGAACAGTGTTCTGATGTTACTCGTCACATCACAACCTCTTCACTTGTATAAACCAAAAATCAACATCACTTTGAACAGTAATGTTTATCATGAGTAACTAGTAAAAAATGATTCACGCGCACAACAGAAGTTTGTAGAATAACAACACTTATCATATATAAACTCCAGCTTTTGTGAGGGATTGTTTTGAATCACTTGGAAGGAAAAAAAGCCAAAAATCTGCTGGTTTCAGTTTCTTAAATGAGATGATTTTAATCAATTCTCCATTTTTTTGCTATTGCAAATTGAATATATTTTTGGTTTAGATTCTTGTAGCTGTGGTCCAATCACATGATTGCAATGCACTTCCATAATACTCCATAATTCCACATGATTTATTGGATAACATAAGCAAATCCCAACTCAAATTATGAGAAAAGGAGATTGCATCTTTCTTTCCAAAAACTTCATATTGTATTTTTTTTCCAAAATAAGCTTTCTCAATGATGGCAAGAAGTCATGTTTCATTCTGCCCTTCTAGCTCTCGGTTTGTAGAAAAACATCCTACATTAGTAAAAGGCTATGTCCGTCTGTCCACCTTCTATCGGTTTCGAGCCTTTGCACTTGCATCACTACAGGCCATTAGAGTGAGGGTTAAGTGCTTCTTTTCTTTCTTTCTTCTCTCTCCCTTTCATCCTCTCCTTTATCTCTCTCTGCCTCTCCTCACTCGCTCTGCCTGCATCTCTTGCCGTAGGATTGGGGACATTTGGCTCACGTGCTCACGCTGCCAAGCGGATGCCAAATTAAATTTATGAGATTTGTGCTGGGGACAAAAAAATCTGCATCAGGAGGCCTAAACCCAACTACACAAGGCTCAGAAGCCAAGTAACCAGAAGTGAATCTGTGACTTAGATGCATAACAATGTACAAATCTTCCATTTGTCAGGCTCCAGTCTTGAATGCATAAAAACATGCTCCAACTATAATGTCACATATTTAGGGAATCCACAGTTTACAACTGTGCGGTGTCAAGGTCGCGTGGGTCTCTTTTCCAGGCAGAGCTTCTCTCCTTTACCCATAATTACTGTGCAGCTACCAAAAAGCTCTGATGTAATCCCTGCACATTGCAGCCAGGCAGACAGCCCCATTTAACATCAGCACGATTCAAATCTGCCCCGACCTCTGACTCTGGCATATGTTACACTTCCTCCCATCTAAGCAGAATCATTCCTCCAAAAAAAACAAAAATGTCATGGGTCTGGACAAAGACAAACATAAGGCTTCAGCATGACTCATCCGAGAGGGAATTCACTAATGCTCTGGGAGTTACTTTAGGAATGATGAGAATTATGGGAAACAATAAAATGGGATAAGAGGATACAAAAAAAAAAAAAAACTGAGAGGCTGATTCACAAGGATGAAATTCATGTGACCTTATTCTCAATGAATCCATTTCCATGTTTTACTCAAAACTTTGATTTTAAATTAGTTTTATCCATCCATCCATCCATTTTCCTCCGCTTATCTGGGACCGGGTCACGGGGGCAGCAGTCTAAGCAAAGATGCCCAGACTTCCCTCTCTCCAGACACTTCCTCCAGCTCCTCCGGGGGAA